CCAAGGTTTATCAGCGATCATCCTCACACACCAGCCGCCTGCAAAGGTCGCAGAGCCAAACCGCGCAATGTGGCACTTCGACAAATTGCTCTTCCGGTGACGCAGTCAACAACGACATCTCACACTTCCGAGTTCCTCTAGCGACGTCATTTGCCCGTGCCTTTTTAAAAAAGGACAGGCTGTTTCCATGTCACTACTCGACTGTTTATATTTACTGCAGCATTCGGAGCACACGGAGGTCACGCACTACAACAATCCTTTGCACTGCACTGATGTTTCTCAGACACATATAAATAAATAAACGAAGGGAAGTTTTCGAAGCTTAATCCAAACAAATGCCAGAAAACTGCCATAAAGGGAAAGCTCCCGCAGCAGGGTGCATTTTGCAGCTCCGTCCCCTATTCGGCAAGGGGCTGAGAAATATTTGCTGATATTAAGTCGCTCATTTGGCGCGGAAAAGCTGCCAGAGACCTTCAAGCAAGTCCCGCACCCAGGTACTGCCACCGACGAGCACGAGTCCCTGCGGGTGGATTTTGACAAGTTGGCTCTGGGTCAATGGCTGCAGCGCTCTTACGCATGCTGACTGAACAGCACTCATCCGAGCTACATTGGACTCAAGCCCAGATCGCATTCCGCTGCAAGGCGTGCCGCTTCGCCGAGACCACGGATGCTGTTATCTTCGACACGGCCGCCCGTGCCAATCAGAACCTGGGATTCAACCCACATTTCCTAGTGAAGCTCTGGCTCCTGGCATTACAACGTTCGTGACTCTGCTCAGGGCGAGACCACGCCCCAGCGAGCACGTGCGACAAAGTTCCGCACCTGGATCTGGGATGCAAGGGACGCACATTCCCAGCCGATGTGCACGCAGTTGGTGCTTCCCTGAATCTGCGCCAGGCTGCAATTTGGGGAGAGCCGCCACGGGCCCAGACGCATGTACCCCAAGTGCCTCAAGAAAAGGCGCGACGCCCCAGAGAGGCTGCGCTTCCCTCGGGCTGGCCTTCAGCTGCCAGGTAGCAGCCCACTACGGCAGCCTCGCCCTTGCAGTGCTCCCACGAAGCACTGCATGCACTGTATACTGCAATGCAGCAAACCATAGCAAACCCAGCCTCCAAAGCGTCAATCTCCACAGCGGCCCCACCTCGCTGCGTATAGCTCCGAGCATCGCAAAGAGCCCTCTTCACTTCTTGGCTCTGTTTGCGTGGCCTTGCTCGCCTCCGTAGACTTCCACTCGCAGGTTGCGCACCATCGCCTGACAAGCTTGTGCTTCAGCATCTTTGACCATACGCCAAAGCCACAACTGAAGTGAATGATCGTGAATGCGATTCTAATGACACAGACGGATGCAGGCAAACGACCTGCTGTCGGACCTCTGGTAGCTACTAAGTCCATGCACAGTGCCCATGCGCTTCAAGGTGGCGAACTTCGCCAAAGCTGCTGGAATACAGCGCTAAACCTGCGAAAAGCAGTAAGAGGGCAGGCGCACCCGGTGAGCTCCTGGCCTCCAAGACATGCGCTGTGGTCGGAAGAGGGGAGAGGAGAAGAAGAGAAGCCCTGAGGTGGGGACCCGTAGAGGCGCAGAGTTGTTTGGTTCTTCGTCCTGCAGTCGGCTGGGTCTTCCACACTCGCAGTTCCCTCTCAACTCTTTTTGTTTATCCGCACCATCAGTCGATGCAACTTGACTCAGGCATCACTCGGAGAGCTTGCTCTCCCAGGTCTGGAGGTGCGTGTCTTCCACGACCTGGGTAAGATGCATCTCTCGCATTCGAGGCAGCAAGGGCACAGCTGTAGGAAATCACTGCAGCAGATACTGTAAGTCACATTAACTTCAGAGGCTCATGTTGCCAAGGCACGTAGTTGCCTCGGAATCAAATCTGTCGGAGGTGTTAACTAGCAGAAAGCCCGTTCTACGCTCGCGTGTGATCTGCACATGCAATACAAACGATCAGCATGGATGCAACAGTTAACAAGTCCGAGACACCAAACTCATCCCAACGCCGGTCATCCAGCCGCGATTCCTTTCCACGGCCCTTCGTGACAACCACGGCAAAGTGCCTGCCAGTGGCGGCCGTCAGACGCACCTGCGGCAACAGCGTTGGTTTAGCACTGCCTTGACCAAGAAGACTGGTTGTTGGCGAATCTACCCCAAGCAAGTGCCAGGCAAGACACAGATTCCACAGGTTCGAGTTCTGCCAGATGCCGAAACAGCTCTTCAGTTGAGTCTGCGTACTCGTCCAGATATGGCTCTGTGGAGCGGATAAGGGCAAACAGCAAGGGATTTGAGCGCAGCTGCACGTAGCCCGGCGCGGAAAAGTCCATTTCAGTGATCCAGAGCTGGCCTCCCGGCTTCAGAAGTCGCAAGGCTTCCAGGCAGACCCGTCTCGTGATGTCCGGAGGCAGCTCGTGGATCACTAGGCAGAGGTTTACGGTTGTTGCACACTCTGCTGGCAGGCCCGTGCTCTCTACATCAGCAACCCGCAGTTCGACTCGCTTGTCAGCAACTACGTCGGTGACCCAATTCCCCGCTTCAGGCTCCAGCTCCATCAGGCGTCGGCCTACAGCAACAAAGTACGGCGACAGGTCCAAGCCGATCAGCCGAGATGCTTTCGGAAAACGCGCTGCCAACCGCCTTGTGCTGATCCCTGTCCCACATCCCATGTCCACAATGACACCACCGTCCGGAACAGCTGCCCCAAGCGAGGCCAAAGCGTTGTCAAACGCAGCTCGAAAAGCATCTTCGCCGTCCTTCCCAAATGCCGGGAAGTTTCTCGCACCTACTGCCCTGCTGGCAAGTTCCTGCTCAAACGCAGCCTCCCAGTTCAGGTTGCCCGTGTCGTAGGCATGGAAAGGCTTCTTGTAGTAGGACGGAAGCTTCGTCGGCGAGTCGGCTTCTAGCTCTTGCAAGACCGTGTCATCCCAAGGTCCTTGACCGCGGATGTACTCCAAAGAAGAGCTCCATCCAATCCCGTTGGCCTCTGCCGTGTCCACCATGGTCCTCCGGGCCTGCGGCACAAGCAGCATCTTGTAAAGCGGAGATTCCAGGGCCATGTCCAGCAGTTGCTGCCCAAAGCTTCGCTCTTTGGGCCGAGGCGTACTGAAAGTCAAACCGAGGAGTGGAAGCAGCAAAAGGAGGAGGCAAAAGCGACTTCGCTTGCTACGGGCCATGGCTGGTGCAATCATGCCAAAGCTTCTCATGGCAGCTACGAGTACCTGGATCTATGAAGTACAAGTAGTTTGTACTTCTGGGCTCCAGAGTGTCTAGGCATCATGAAAAAGACATGAAGGAGACATGACTTGGGTGCAGAATATGACGCAGGTCGAACCGGCGCAGAGGCAGACCGGCTGCGTGGCACTCGCTCAGTAGAACTCTGGCAGTACAGTTCTGGGATGAAGCTGAAGCTCCTCAAAGTCGTTTCCCACCGGCCCTCCCCCTCCAGCAAGACCGGCCGCTTGATGCACCTAGCTTGCGGTGCGCAGCTACAGGACATTGACGACATGCCGCTTACCGTGCTCAAACCGGGTATAGGCTCCAGACAATGTCTCTGGGAGCTCGTGCGTGCCGCACCTCACCAAAACCTGTGACAGCAAGTCTAGAAGCGCTGAGCTGCATGGGGGGGCCGGGGCGGGCCGGAAGGGCTGGCTCGGAAGCTGGCACGATGGAGAGGCTCATCGCTTGGGACAGCGTTTAGAGCTGCCTGGCCCGCACTTCCACCGAGCGTCATGAAAACCGTGGTGTGTCCGGAAAATACTATGGGCCTGCAGGGTTGGGAATTCCTTCGACGGAGCGACGATGGTGTGCAGTGCCTCTCGGAAGCCGCAGATCTCAGTTGCAGCTCCAACACCCAGAGACCAAGGCTCCAACTGACGAGTGTGAGTCGGAGGGGGAGCCGCAAATGGGCACACACCTAGCAATGGATGGCGAAGCACCGATTCCACTCCACCCACCGTCAGAAGACTGCATGCAGTATGCTTGATTGCGGGGGGCACAGAACACCGGGCTGAGCTGGCTGCAGAAAGTCATCCGGCTCCGTCCAACCAGCCAAGACCTTGCGAAGCCTCGAGTCAGTTGCATTGTGCAGAGGTCACAAACTTGCTCGACTCTCCTGAACGACCCAAAAAAATAAACTGCCAAGCTTCTCCGTGAAAACCAAAGCTGCCCCAACTTCAGGAGACAACCTCTGTGCCCAGCAAGCATCAGATCGCCGTGATCAGCACAGCACACACAGAGGGCTCTGCAGAAGAATCACACGGGAAGCTCGCACGATGTAGCGAACCTCCAAGTGTCATCAGCTATGGCGGCGTTTTGACAATCCATCTCCTGCTAGACCCCGAGCCTCATGAGTGGAGTCGTTCTCCAGGCCGCCACGCCAGCGTGCGTCAATGCCTCGGGTCCAAGCATCGATGGCGAAGGGCCCCTGACACTCGGCTGGGCGACCAGGCTCGAGATCAGCCAGCGACCGGAGAGCTTAGGAGAGCGGCTCAGGGCCTGGCAGATTGAAAAAACTCAAGGTCCGCTTCTGCTTGCCGAGGCTCGCGGCCTCTTCCCAGTTGCTGCGGAACTCAGCGGCCGAGCCATGGAATTTCCGTACCTGCGACGAAGCCCCATCCTCCGTCGCCCGGACTTGCGACTGTGAGCTGAGCGACGCACCACGGGGCTGCCTTTCAGTTGGGTGCGATCCTCGGCGCGAGCGCCCGAGCGCAGGCCCCGAGCTCCCAAATATGAGGCGAAGAAACGGCGCCTCCCAGAGAGGGACTGGCTCCACCCACCTGGCGTGCGAAACAGAGGCCTTTTCTCAGATCGCTCGCCTGGAACGGGGGTCGCACTGATAGCGAAGCGGAGGCCGCCAAGGGGTCGGACCTACACTCACGCGCTTGGCTTGTGTAGCCCATCACCACATCAGAGAAGCAGGCACCCACACACCTGGCGGTGCCAAAGGCATGCGCCAAGCATAGCGACACCTCAAAGATCGGCAACTGCTACCGCCAAGCAAGCCTAAAGGTTGGTGGCATCACAAAGCAGTCTGTCACATCGCCCTATCTTGCATTTAAAACGGCCAAGCAAGAGCAGAACGAGGCCTTCCCAGTCGAATCCATTCGTCTATCGGCAAGTCATCTCCTTTGCACATCCACTTCGCCTGGGTCTCTGCTCGTCTGTGAGTTATAAGGGCTCTCAGAAGGAGGTCAAGGAGACTTCCCATCTTGCCTCTGGCAGCGCATTCTCGTCTTCCGCATTCTTGGCCTTGTTTCAGACCCAGCCCACTGGAAGTCGCAGGTAGAGCTCGGAGTCTGAGAGCCGCAGCTGGGATTAGCCGCAAGATGCCCTCGGGAAGGCAAGGACGGCCCGCCTTTCGCATCTCACCGCTTCTGCTCCTCTGGGCCCTTCTGACACCTGTTGCAGGCTGCCTCCTCCTTCAGATACGCGTGGAGGTCCATGAGCTGCCGCTCAGTGAAGACCTAGAGACACCATGCTACGGGTGCAAGCACGTCTTTCGATTGCTTTCGATGCAAGCCGAGCACATTGGAATTGGAACATGTGAGCAGCTGCACCTCTCCCCGCCGCTTGCGGTCCACGAACTCCCTCTTCAGGACTTGGCACAAGGGAAGCATGTTGTCACGGCGGCGTCGCCACTGGCAAGGGAAGGAGATGGATCAAACCTACTGAAAGCATCACGTCGCTTCCGGAACTCGGCTGCAGGCTCCTCTGAGCTTTGTCACAGTACCTGCTGTCTGTCGAAGGGCACCGTACACCGAAGACACCGCCGCGGGGCACGGCATGCGCAGACCATTCGTCCCACTTGTCACGGTTTGATCCACGACCTTGTCCCAAGTGTTGTCCTGCGGGGATTGTTGATTCAATCAAAACATGTCGGCCTGCCTGTTGAACGCAGTGCCTCCGACTCTTGGAGATAGGTCTGCAGCAGGTCTGCCAGTGGATGACCATCAGCTTCTGAGCATTCGCCCAGATACCTGCTCCGCAATAGGAGCTTGCTTGCAACAGCACAGGTGTCGGCGCACTCCAGCATCCTCTCCCGAATGGCGGTAAGGCGATCGGGCGTGACCAACCTAGACAGGTGACCAATGGAGAAAACCGTGGCTACTGACAAGTGAGGTTCGGGTATTCGGGATCCAGAGCACCATGTCAAAAACGGTTCCGCCAGAGGTCAACTGCGTATCCACGATCTGGAATCGACGATCTGGGGGTGTGGCACGTATGGAGCAACGAGGTGAAGGGAAACCTGATGGATGCAAGATGCGTCCAGGAACACATCAAGCAAGCTGCCGTGGAAAACCTGCCTTGACCAACTCTTTGACTCTGTCCCATCCGGATGCATTGAAGATGCAAAAGTCGATCAGGGGGAGATCCTATGCGAACGCTGGAGACATCGAAAGCCCTTCCCAGCCTGAACTGTCACAGGTGCTAGAAAGCCGTTGCCGTCCGGGAAGAACTGAAAGACGATCATCCCCAGGTGCCGCAGCAGCACCATGTCCTACTTGCATCTCACTCTACATGCTACCATCATCACCATCATCTCCTGCAACCCAGACCTTGCTGAGGACAAAATGGTCGGCACCGTGCCAGCGGCAAAAATCGACACGACCTCGCCAGGGCCTGCCATGTGACACCGAATGCGTTCCCTGAATACCTAATGGGCATGCATGTCCAAATCGCAGTGTTCAGAACCGCTGTGGGGTCTTGTCCCAGAGTTACAGTATGGTGGAGGGGCTGCCATGCAGGACCACGCGGCCCAAGCCTGCCAATTTTTGTTTGCATGGGCAGGATCTCTGATGTGTGGCTGTACTCCCATCACTTTGGGCTTAAAAACCGGCTCGTATGACACGATGGAGGTGTCCATGCTTCGTAGCTTGCCCGCTCAATAGCTAATGCAACTGCTCCCACTGCAGGACAGGCATGCCGACCTCGTCCGCTTGATACGGACTGGCACTGAGTCCAGCATGTCCTAGCAGGTCTGGGTGTCCAACATGGTACATCTACAGAGAAAAAGTTTGCATCTCAACCTCGGGATTTGTTCGTTGGACGATGAAAGAGTAGGCATGGATGGAATCTGAGGGTTGCATTGAGTAGTACATCTGCGTGAAAAAGCGAAGGTTGCGTGTCTTCCGGAACGGTATGCGGAAGCTCTCCACGAGAAAGCTCTCTCAAGGAGGCAAACTACCTTGCTCCGCTGCCGCTGCGGCCCGTCGGAATCAGAGGTGTGGCAGCGACACGGAAGACAAGACAGCTCGAGTTCGAGTTCGACGGGGGCTCTGCAGAGTAGAGCCGGCAACCACACCAGAAGGTGAAAGAAGGCACATCAAAGGTAACAGCCAATTCTTTCGGCCAGCTATGGAAAAACATGCTCCGACTTCTTGCCCTCCGTCACATCCTGCGATGTAACCTTCAAGTCCATGTCGAAGATCAGCGGGAAAATGCGAGTCCTAAGAGGTATCCCATATGGTGACGTGCTGTCTCGGTTCGGGGATACCCTCAGAGGACCGGGCTGTCGCTCCATCAAGACGACGGGAATCCGTCGGTCGTACAGCCAGGCTATTGCCTCAACAGAACATGCGAAAACACAGAGAGCGAGAGAGAGCCTCATCTAATGTATGCAGAGCTCTTTTTGACAGCCCAGCTGCCTTGTTCAACCCTTCGAGGTCCTCTTCGGTGTCAAAAACCTGGGATGTCTTCGGCAGCGGACACTTCTCTAGACTCTTGTGAGGACGGCCAGCGGCCGGCGTCCCAAGGTCTGCACGAGCATGCCTGTCTGCGTGAAGTCGGAGCGTCCTAGCGTGCTCAACCGCCAATGGCGATGGCGATTCGATCCGAAGCCGAAAGACAAGCGCCTTTGAAGCAAGAGTGGGTCAGCCGGTGGCTCCTGCAACAGGACTCGGGCTCAGCATGCCTACGCGGCCGTTGAAGCTGTGACTTTACCAGAACAGCTCAGCAAAGCACTCTGTGCAGTCGTGCGCCCGGAACCACTGCAGGGTTCGCTCGAACCTGAGAACATTCGCTTCTTGTCAAAAGGAGGGAGAGAGGGAGGCTATTGCACAAATCGTCTCTGTGGGGCCGCGGACAATCGAAACAAAAATGTATCCTACACGTTCTAGCTTGTGACTTGGGCTTGCTACAATAAAGCATGCGCATTGCTGAGTTGAACTGCTGAGTTTCCTGCTGCTGAAACTCTGCGATGCTTTGAAACCTCGATCTGCATTGAGGCAGCCCGTCAGTCACATTCGTCGCAGTCCCCAAGCACAAGGCTTGTTCCGAAATCTGCGGTCCCTTTCCTCCAGCTCCTGCATTCCCAAGGTGATCAGGGAACACTGCGATGGCAGAAGCAGGCCTGGAAACGCTTCCAAGTTGAGGCCGGGGAATCCTCACAGGACAGGAAAAGCTTCTGAAGACCCCCTTCCTGTCGCTCGATGGGAACGACCTCCCTGCGCGCGGAACCAGACTCGCACCTTTTCTCTGAGAAGCAGCGAGGTAGACTGAAACCCGAAAGCAGAGGCATGGTTTCAGAACGACTGAGGGCTTGGCCCCAAGGAAGCGGCAGCTGCAGGATCTGGCATACCACTCGATTCATTCCCAAGCGCCCTCTGAGGTGATTGCACACGGTCATCGAAGTGTCTGAGGTACATATAATGAGGTCCCAGAGTGCTGTCGTTTCCAACGCCCAAATGCACGGCCTTCTGGCAGCTCTTTGGCTCGCACCTGAGGAGCCACGTCTGACCCCTAGGACCGGAAGTTCGTGAGAGTGACAGCACGTAAGCACCCAGCTGGAACACCAAACACAGCACCGCTGAGATGGACGGGATATTCCGCACCTGTACCTAATAGGATGTAGGTGGTTTCTGCAAGCCGAAGCCTAAGCATGTCACTGCTGGTTTGGGAGCCTGCACCTTCCGGAAGCTGCGGACAAACACACCTCACAGGAGGCCGAGCTCCGGCCATAGCATGTTGGCTTTGGAAGCAGTGAATCTACCGGCCTCTACTGCCCCGTCATATTTGTAAAGCCCCGCCCTGCAAATTCGCCCCACATCGGCCCAGAGGCTTTTTTGCAGAAACCCCCTGTTTCTCCGGTGTGGCCAGGGCAGGCCCTGGAACGAAGCGTTTAGAATTTCGTCGCAGCCTCTGCCGATGCTCCGTAAGCAGGAACAGAGGCCGGGAGTCGCACTCGCCGTCGGGAAGAATATCCAATCTCTCCAAAGTCAGCCTTGGCACGCCGGTCAGCAAGAAACAGGAGAAGCCACACTCAACATCGTGAAAGGAGCCCACCTACCACCGCCGCCGGCCTGCGGCAGAGTCCGAGCCACGGAAACCGTGACCTGCAGCATAGGATGCAAGACAGCAGAGAGACTGCTGACCTCAAACCGGTGTGATGCCTCTACATGCCTTCCGAGGCGGTAGCCCGGTGCTGCGGCCGGCAGTCCTCAGGGAGCTGCGCGAACCTCATCTTCGCTGCACTCGGCTGAACCGACTTTTGTTCTTTTGAACTCGACTCTCTATGCATCATGCTCCGGCAATGTCAAAAGAACGACGCTCATTGCAGCTCAGTCAAAGCACCCATCATTCAGCCCATTTTACAGCAAAGCTTGGCGTCTAAGACGCATCGACTAGTTCGATGTGGAACGGCTGCTTTGGTTCCGAACCACCGACTGATTCGACTAACTCGTACTCCAGTTTCCTAGCCATGGCACATTTGTGGTCATGGCATCTCTAACCCAAGTGACGAAATGCCTCCCAGTCCGACCATGAAACCTCCAAAACAAACACCAAGAGAAACTGCGCTGGCCAGAAATACCTTCACGGCCAATTGTGCTTGCAAGAACGCGCATCAGAGATAACCAACGATTTCGCACGTCGGACCGACTGGGTTCAGCTTGGAGCTGCAGTAGAACTGAGAAAGTTGGAACACAAGTACCCCTCAAAACCCTAGAAGGGTGGCAACGGAAACACATCTTATCCCATACTCTTCCAACTTCTACGTGTGTGCCCCCGAGCATAGAGCTCGGGCAAAAGGGGCGAATCATTGTTCCAACTTTCAACTGTGGTACCTCTACTGCATGTGGCAGAAACCTGACGACCCAACAACCCCAAGAAATGAACCGGTCACCAGGCACATTCCGCAACGCTCATGCGACGGTCAGGCTGAGTGAATGCAGGCATTCGCTCGGATGGTTTTAAAACAAAAAACCATCAGAGCCACGGGCCTTCTGCTCACCTCGGCTGGCAGAAACCTTCACGAAATGACAGACGAGCCTCTCTGAAAATAATTTCACAAAGCTCTGCAGCCCAGTGACCTTCAGAGAGTTTCACCTGCTGGGCTGCTCACCAGCATCAACGAGGAGGCCCAGGAGTTCTGCCGAGCGAGGTGCTAGAGCAATTTTCCCGGTAGAGGGCGGGGGGGAACTGCTCTGTAGGCACCTGTGAGCTCTCCACAACTGCCAGAAGCCGGCTAATCCGGAAACCAGATCGACTGACTCGGAAACCAGAACGGCGCATTCGCCAACCCAAACGGCCACCAAGAACGGTTGATTCGGGAAGCAGACGGGTGAACCCGGAACGGGTGATTCGGAAGCCAGGAAAAAGCGCAGGTCTCGCTCTCATGTTGGAAAATTTGAAGAAGTTGGACGCACTCGGAGCATGGGCATTATCATCCTTCGAGCATTTATGCTCTTCGGAGTGGATGCACTGGTAGCAGTCATCGTTTGGGTACGGATGCTCTTGGCTTTCGATGCAGGAGGTTTCGAAGACGGGCACGGATGATCTTGGTTTCGGATGCACTGGTAGCGTGGACGTTATCATCGTTCGGGCAGGGATGCTCTTTGTTGTGGAGTGTGTTCTGGATGCACTGGTACTGTGGCGTGGACGCTGTCATCGTTCAGGCATGGCTCCTCTTGTCGATGCACTGGTCGCATAAGGTGGCATCATCGGTTTCCGCAGCACGTTTTCCCCATGCACGCCAGCCGCGCCAGTTTCCCGGTTTCCCATACCCAGTTTCCGATGCGCGGTTTCCAATGTGCATTTCTGGTCTCCGATGCTCGCTTGATTACGTGCCCGACGGTTGCCGATGCACAGTTTCTGATGCGCGGCTGGTTTCTGATGCGTCGTTTCGCATGCCCAGTTTCTGATTCAAAGGCTGGCTGTCCATGGCAAGAAGCTGCGCCATGCAGTGGCCTGCGGTGTCTTCTTTTGTCGTCCAGTGCAGCAGCCTCCTCCATCGCCGCCATTCAGAAACTCCTGCGAAAACTGTGAACAAATTGCAGCGAGTCAACCCAAATCAAAATTAAAAATGGAAGGAGTCTGGCGCGCATCTACATCAAGAAGATGTTCCTGCTCTTCATCAGCTTGAGAATAGTAGGACAAGCCCTTCAACCAACCGCCACGAATGCTGAAGCCACCATCGTAGGCCAGCCCCCTGCTCCTGCAGAATGGGAGGGGTGAATTCTTGGCCCGGTGCTCCGGAGTGTGACCAGATACGATTGAATCCATGTCAGGCGGACACGCAGCTGCCAGTCAGAATCTCATGCCCTTTTGCCACACTGCAGGGCGACACGGCAACGCTACAGACAGCGCCATCTTGCGAGCACTTGGGGACCTCTTGAGGTAGAAGTACACAGCCACCACGACGATCACCAGGAGAAGAATCCAGAAGATGCCAAAGTATCCTGGAAATTTAGAGCATTTGGTGGAGAGAGTAGCAACTCTACAGCAGCACTTGACATGGACCGTTGAGGGTCCTAGATTGCGGAACTGGAAGGTGACCATCATTGTGATCAACCGTGGATCTGCAAGAGGCACCGCTGACGCCTGGCGAGCGGAGCCGTGTTTAGGATCTCTGGCAGCATCAATTCTAAGATGCAGCCTCGACTAGAAATGCTGTTGAAATTATTTAGCAGATCTGGCAGAATTCCGCAAGCTACAAGCTCTTGCAGGAGTCACGGGCTGTCTCGTGACGGCGGTGTTGACCTTGCAGGAATCGACTTTGGTGCACGTCGCTTTACAGCACTCTGCCAGGTTCCTGGCAAACCAACGGAGCGGGAAGAAAGTCCGTCGCCAAAACCCAGCTGCCGTGATGAGCATGGAGACCTGTTGTGAAAACGGAGCACAGCCTAGTACATCAGGACTCTCTCGATTGTCACACTGGAGACAGACATGGACACAGAAATGCATAGCCTGCTTGTTCTCAGCATCCAGAAGCCGGATGGGCTCATAACCGTCTGTCAGATGGCTGCTTCGACCGAGATACGACCCAGCCTCGGTTGCCAAATGCATCAGGCTGGGCCACTGCTCTGCCACTTGCCGCTCTGCCACAGCATCTTTGATAACATAGCTCAATCCAGCGGTACCTGGTAGCCTTAGCCAGGCTAAGATCACATTCTAAATCGATTAACTGAGCAGGAGACAGAGGGAGCACCCTGTTCCCTTTAGATGACGAAACTGTGTGGTCAGGACAAGAAGCACTGTCCCATCACCATCAATGTCCGGCAAAGTGTCTACCTTGAAGCTCAGATGAAGCGGGGCTTCTAATTTCTTTCTGAGACCGGCTGCTAGCTTCCCGACAGGATGCTTCGATTTTGTACAAGATAGCACCGCTGCAGTCCTTCACGATGAATCCGCACCACCTCGCTTCCATGCTACCAGACAATGCAACTTAGAGATAAGCAGGAGAAAAAATCTCCTATGGTCAGTGACCACTCAAAACGGCACTGGCATTGGACACAAGGCAGAACATGATTTCTGTTGAGGTGCGTCCAGGGAAGGCACAATCCCATCTCGGCCGTTGCCACCACGCCGACAGTGTGGGAGGACAGCGTGAGGTAGCCCAGGAAAGGCACCGGAAGTACGGTCACAGTCCTAAGCAGACACAACCCGCATCCGAGCCCTCCTGGGGGAGCAGAAGAGCTGCGGCAGGACTTTGATCATGGACATGAGCAACTGCCCGCACCCTCCAACCTCGTCATGCTTCTTGGTTACCCTCCACATCAATCCAACCGTGAGTCGTATCAATGAGATCTCCAGCTTGTGGCGTGCGCGTCACATCCTTCGAGAAGCAAAAGCGATCAGCGACGCCATTGCCGGTGTTGTTGCCAGTGAAAAGACCTGAGATGCGACAGCAAACAACAGCGACTTCTTCCACCTCTCGACCATATCGAGCAAACCACTGAGCCGTAAAGGCCAGCAAAGCAGTCCGAGCGACAGCATTCGGCGAAGCCAATCGTTGGCGGTCGATCAATGGCCTCGGCTGTTCAAAAACGAAAACGTTCCAGGGATCGCAGCTGTACAAAACAAGCTTCTTCTGTCCCCGAGGCTCTGATGGAGCAAAATGCAATAGAGCAGCATGGCAATCAGCCCGTGTTTCACACTCTGCCATGCATCCAACTCTGGTGCGCTCCTCCTGCACTCGTTAAGCTTGCTGGGAACGGTGAAGCTGCTGCAGAGCTGGCCTTGTCACCGCCGACCCCTTGTGCATGAGTTGCTGCTTGCACATCCCCTGCCTTCCGACACTGTTACGATCCAAATTCCACGCCAACCCTGCTTCTCTTGAGACATCATGCAGTGTGACCACAACCAACCCTGCAGAGCAGGTTGCCACATCATGCGCCGGAATCTACTGACTGGCAGCATCTCTTCGTATACAATAGCAAACATGACATGTGAGATGGGCTGCGCAGTCAGTCCTTCAGGCAGAACCACAGGTTGTCTGTCAGGGCGGCAGGGTGAGAGGCACGCAAAGATACCGAACACAGTCCCATGAACACCATAGACTGACCTCCGACGGCTAGACTACCGTTACCACCAACGCCACCAGTTGTTGCATCAATTGCCATTTCTGCTTCTGTGACGTTATTCCTTTCACTGTCATATGACGACTAACTGCAAGCTAGTCCTACTGCTTGCACCAAAGCTTCTTACTCTCGATCGTACACGACCGACACCACCGAGATACAAGGACTACAGACTTCTGCTGCGACCACGACCGCCGCCGACGCTAAGGCCGCCACAACAACCACTACCACAACAACTACCGCAACCATTAACCGAGAAAACAAAACAACTAGCCAAGAAAAAGGAAGAAGTCGACTCTGACATCCAGGTTCACAACAACATCAAATTCCGGAACGATCCCAGGCCTCCCACTGAGTTTTGCGAGCCCGACGAAACTTCCCCTGCATTGGTCTTCAGCGCTGGCCTCACACCACACAGACAGTGCTATTTACACTTGCAGCCTTCATATGTCTGTCGCTGAAGACTGGTGCAAAAGGACTCCCACACTGAAAAAGCATCAAGAGCTCAAAGTTGTACCGGCAGTGCAAGCAGCGAGGCAATCTTTCTCCGGCTAAAATGGGCGCCCTCGTCGAGCCGTCACCGTTTGCCACCATGTCACAACATGTGCTTCAGCTGCGCCCGCTGCGCGCACACTTCTACACAGTATGCCTGGCTCGGTGCATTTTCTCACCCGTCCTCGGCTTGACGCACGGCTGCTTTTCTGGCGTGCCGGCCTGCCCTAATCATCATCTTCCGGTACTTAGCAATCTCAGCAGCAAGACCCGACATACAGGAGGGGGCCATGGCCTCCAGCAGCAGCTGGATCTCGCAACGGACTTCGTCGGGAAATCGGCCACCATGTATGACCCAAGCCAAGCAGGCCGAGCCATCGTCCTCGTCGATCCTAACCGTGGGTGCCGATCACCTCTCTGATCTGGGCCAGCAACGAACGCTGTTGTCTTGGCTCTGCCCGGCGTCCTTGTTCAGCACGGCCTCAGGCTCTTCGCGTCTGTGTAATACAAAAATTTCTCCTTGGCGAACTCCCTGCAAAGGTCCACGGCCTCTCCTCGGGATGCTTGCTTCTTTCCATGATCATCTGAAGTTCTGAAGGTGCTCTGCCGCTTCCACTCCGGCAAGTAGACCGTTAACCTGTGCCGCCAGTGTGCCGTGACAGACCCTCTTGATACTTCCAAAGGATCAAAAGTGGACTGTCCTCGTCGGAGCTCATGGCCTCGGTGGTGAGCCCAAAAAGGTAGCATGAACTTCCACTTGGCGTCCGAGGTCTCCTTCAAAACATCTTCACAGCCTTATTCAAATTGGTGACGCCTTTCACCATAGGAGAGCCCATGGCGTGCAAAGCGATGCCAAGCTAACGTTCACCATCAAATCGGGCCGCGACTGTCACATGATCCAGCCCATCTGCCCGATGAAACACCTGATCTGGGACTTCTCCGCATCTGTCATTGGGGCGTTGACCTCCCAGCGCCTGGCTGGGGAAAACAAGATGTAGTCGACGCCCTGAACTCACTCCTCTTGATTCCTCAGGGTGCTTTCGTAGCGCCCGCCTTCGCCTTGGCTGTACGGGCCATCCACGCGGCTGATCATGTTCCCGATGAGCGGCCACCCTCTACAAGGTGAAACAAGGCAGCCTCAATGCGACACATCAGCCACGTGCTCGTTCACCTTCACTGGGGCCCCTGCCGCGATGCTCTCCCGAAGGGTCTCGCTGAGCAGCTTCATGCCCGCCTCGGCTGGCCTTGAGCATCTTTGCTTTGAAGCTTCTTTCATGCTTCAAGTTTCGCGGCTCCCTGCAAACCGGCCTGCACTGGCGTCGCGAGAAGGGACCGTGCCACAAATCCCAGGCCCGCTCGCAGTACTCGAAGGCGTCTGGGTCCCCGTGTATTGTGGACTGCCGTACCGGTCCACATCAAGTTTGCTGCTGGGGTTCATCTTAAAGAAGTCCAACCAACGAGCTCGCCGCCGAAGAGGTCGGGGAGCTCAAACGAATTTGTTGTGGACCTGGCCGCTCCGTTGCAGCGCTGGTCCTCGGAGATCGCGTCGGGCTCGAAGATCCTGTTCGGTCAAGGACAGCAGCGGTCGCCGGGAAAGTGCCCAGCTCCGATTACCATCAAAGTTGCACCGGCAGTGCCAGCAGCGAGGCAATCTTTCTCCTGCTAAGAAGGGCGCCCTCATCGAGCCGTCGCGGTCTGCCGGCATGTCACGGCATTTGTTTCAGCTTGACTCAGTGCGCACTCTTCCATACAGCATGCCTGGTTAGGTGTATTTTCTCAAGAGCTATCATAAGCGCTGGCGAACTGAAGGCCAATGTTGTCCCAAAACAAAGAACCCAATCCTCCGTTGCTGTGGATTTGTCAATGGCATTGGATTGCGCAGCTAGCTCAACGATTCAACTGCGCCAACAGATGTTTCTTCTCGCAGGCACGTGAGATTCAACAAACCTATGAACCCCTCACGTCAAACGTATCCTTACTATTTTAGTCCTTATACCGACTACCATGTGGGTAATTCTCTACATTGGGGTCACCGTTTAGGTCCGCAAAATAGTACGGCACCCGGATAAGCAGGACCCCTAAACGGGACCCTAATTTAGAGAACTACCCATATACATGAGTATCATATTGATTCTTGCGAAGCGGTTTTGCAGAGGGCAGATTCTAAGCTTCACTCGGGAGCCGGCTCGTGACTCCAGGAAGGACCGCTGCGGCAGAAGCCCGCCATTTTCGTGAAGTAGAAGGGCATGAAGTCCTTAGTCCGTGGAGCATCAAGGAGGCAGACCCCAGGAGGAGAGTATGCAATTCTTCTAGAGTTGTAAGGAACAGAAGGCGGGAGGAAGCAAGAGAACTGGATCACTTCAGGCTGGCTGCGACAGATGCGAAGAACTTGAAGAAGCTTCTATCTGCACCTGTGGATGACGGGAATCCACTCGGCTCTTCGCCTCGCCAGAGCGCGATAACATGAATCAGAGCTCTGTTTTTGTGTACATTGAGAGACAGGCACACACACACACATGCACGCACACACCCACCATCCAGCCGTCAATCCATCCATCTGTCTAACTATCCATCCTTCCACCCTCGATCTATCCATCTATCTACATCCGTAATCTTTATCTATCGACCTATCTATCTAAATAATCTATCTAAAAATCTATCTATCTATCTATCTATCTATCTGTCTGTCTGTCTATCTATCTATCTATCTATCTATATGTGTCGATATATCGATCTATCGATCTTTGATCTATCGACCTATCGATCTATCGATCTATCTATCAATCTACTTTTCTATCGATGTACCCATCCATTTATCAGTTTGTTTATGTATCCACAGATCTGCTGAATAATCTTTATCTGCTTATCTATCCATCTACCTATCTACATGTGTACCACATATGCGTGTAACATATACATATATATATGTATGTATGTATGTATATACATGTACACACACTCATCTAGTCAACCTCTGAGACTGTTGAGCCCTGCACATTGTGTCTGTGCGAACGCCGCCAGGGCCAACTGGCCAAGCAGAGTCACCTCGTCAGTGGCTGAGCAGCTGAAGACTTGTGGTTTTTGGGGGGCTTAGGGGTTTAGGGGTTTAGAGGTTTAGGGTTTGGGGTATGCGTTCGTCTTGGCTTGTCTTGGGACTTCATGTGTGTATGTGTTTGGGTTCCCAATTAAGATCTCTTTCGGGTTGTCTTTGAGATCCCTTTGGCGGTCCGTTTCGATTTCTCTTGTTGGGGTCCCCTTATTTTCCCTTTTTGTGATGTCCGTGTTAGCCTCCGTTTCGGATCCTTGTGTTCTTGACTCGTTTGTGCGTTGCTTTTGGGGTTGATGGGGTCCCGGACTGCCTTTGGCTTGGCTCCCTGTTTAGAGCCGCAGCTTCCGCAAAGTGCGCCAAGTTGGAAGGTTGAAGGTTTATGCAAGCTCTAATTGTTTTGTCATCGTCTTCAGGGGAAGCTCACGTCGCCCCGGCCTTGAACCACGCCATCGTTGCCAATCGCAAGTGACCGTGGCACTCGAGCCAGGCGCGGAAAGACAAAGCAAGAAGGGCAGGTCCGAAGCCCAGTCTGAGACCACCAGCGATAAATCTGACAAGAAATGCAATCGAGCCAACATGACGAATTACGCCGCTACGCATATCGAACTGCGGTCTTGCAAGCTGGATTGGAATGACGACTTCGGCCTCCGAAGACACCACCCGCACAGGTCCACCTGCAGTCCCAATCTCTTAACACCCTGCGAAACCCTAAAACCCGACCCCCAATCTTTTTCCTAGAATGCCTGTCCCAACCCTGAAAGCCTTGAAACCCTAAAACAACCTCAGCACCCCGAAGCCCTGCAGTTCTTTCTCTTCGAGGCCCCGGCGGAGTGTAGCGGTGCCGGGAACCTCAACAACAGCTGCGGACGCCCGAGTTTCGGTATGTCTGCATGTACATGTATGTGTCTGTCCGTAACGATATGCATCTGTATGCAGACAGATATACACATACATATATACATGTTTTGTTTACATATATATATATCTGTATATATTTACATCTACATCTACATCTACATGTGTATATATATATATGTACATGGATACACAAATCCATGTATACATAAG